AAATTTGATCAATGTTTTTGGAAGTGTTGTCCGGATATGTAATYCGGCCAAGGCTTTATCGGATTTAAATGTGGGAATGCATTGCTRTTGTTTTCCGGATGAGTAATCTGGCTAATGGTTTGACCGGACTTTGGGGAGAGTTGACCGGATATGTTGATGAATAATCTATTCAAAATGAGTYTATGTTAGGGGTATTTTGTTCTTTCTAAAATGATAAAGAAAGAGGGTTCAATAATGTAATATCTGGATAAAGTATTTTAAGAGCTTAAAATCTCTTTTATYAATTATATATATATATATATATATAWWTAYAYAYAYACATACRGATGTTTGGTGTGTGTGTATGAAARTATATGAATTGTTTATGTTGGAGGATGTMATACACTTTCTATATATAGCAAGTGTATGAAAAAGGAAAAGSTTTCTTTGGCTTTTAGAAGTTTGCTTTASGAAATTTGAAGATGATTTAAAAGAAACCAGAATCTCTATACCGGTCAACTTCATTCAAGGGTGAGTGTTTTATGCTTTGAAATATCAATTGTTGGTATAACAATTTTAATTGCTTTGGAATTGGCTTATTATGATTCATCATATATATATATATATATATATTGTAACATCAGTTACGCTCTTTAAATAAAAGAAACTATTTATCCAAATAAATATTTCCATAAAACAGTCTCCAAGCAAATACGGGATATATGTTATAAATTTCCACCAAAAGACAAAATAACATAGTCTGCAAAAGACGATTTTTCAGTACTATAAGTCGGATCCATAAAATACAAATATATCTACTCAAAAGTATTATATACCTAGATCCGACTCAAACGATACCCGTACAGCAGATCTAAACCGTCTAATCCTTCACCTGAGCAGCTATCGACTTTCTAGAAAAGAAAGTTCATTCTAAAAGATTAAGCCACAAGGCTTAGTGAGATTATACCAAAGCTTATATTTATATATATTATAAATACAAAGCAAATCATAAACGAAGCAGAACAATAAATTCGTTTAATTAAGAATTTGATCGAAAAAAATAATCTGATAAAATTGTCCAAAACACTGTGCAACTAGAGGGCCGCTGGTCTATACAACCAGAGGGTCGATGGATAAACAGAGGGTCGAAGAATCAATACAAACAGAGGATCGATGGGTCAATACAACCAGAGGATCGATGGATCAATACAACCAGAGGGTCAATGGTCTCAATACAACCAGAGGATCGATGGATCAATACAACCAGAGGATCGATGGATCAATACAACCAGAGGGTCGATGGTCTCAAAGGATTTAAAGTACAATACAACCAGAGGGCCGATGGTCTCAAAGGACCCAAAATTACAAACTTGGCCATATAATCATAGCATAAAAACTTTAAATTTCCAATCTTAACATACAGTGCTTATAAAGACTTTTTAAGATAAATAAGATCAATTTCAGCCCAAAAGGGTGTTCAACACCACCATTTTCAAAATAGAGTTTTTATGTGCATCATACCCCCCTTCATCTACAGGGCCCGTGCAAGTATTCACACTCGGCTCCTTATCATTCGGGATACATGAATACAACCAGTATGCCACACCCAACCTCCTTCTCCCTGGGATACGTGGACATACACCATGCTACGACGCATCACACAAAGTAATACCCATAGATCATGGTTCAACTAAAAACCAATGAAACAGTCTCGGATCCGGGACTTAAACATAAATTTAACAGGATTAAGCGGTACCAAAACACAGTTTGGGAGAAATTTATCTTACAAAATAACACATGCAAGAAATTCAGCAACTTTTCAACATAAGTTCATATATTTATACTTTTTCAAAATAACACATGCAAGAAATAAACTCACAGTGCTTTCTTATAAACGACCAAACGCGGTAACCTTCAATCCAACCAACAATAGCGATAAACCTTCAAAGGTTCTAATTAGCCTTAAAAACAKCCCCTGGAGTAAACATTTCAGAATCAAAACCAACCATATCTCAACCTTAAATTATACACTTTAAATCTTGATTATCCTATTTACATTTCTTGTAAAATCCTCTGTTAAACCCCTGTTTTACCATACTTAAACCCAGATTTTTCCATAAAACTGACTGCATGTTACTTACCTACCCAAAATAGCTTCTGATTCACACAATAATCAACATTATCCTTTATAATCTTTCAAAAACAGAATCTAGCCTCTAATTTATACACTTCTACTTGAAATAAACTTGAAATTAGAAGCATACCTTTGATGATTAACACTTAGTCTTCACGAATCTAACATGGATCTTCACGGTTTGAAGGATTAACCTTAAATGTGTGTAAATCGCACCTTAAGTGTGGGTGAGAGTTCTAGACTTAGATGATGTGGAAAAAGGGTCAAAACTCATATTTTTTAATGCTAAACTTGAGTTGGGCCCGCTTGGCCCATCTAAGTGTCCAAATAGACCAATAAACTCCCACTAAATCATAAACCCACTATAACCCAATAAATTATTCTAAGCAATTAATTGGGTATATTGAAACTTGGATGTTATATATATATATATATATATATATATATATATATTGTGAGGATTTACCTAAACCGGACAACTGATGTCCGGGACTTACGTAAACCAAACAAGGGACGTCCGGGTTCTACCTAAACCGCTCGAAGGTGCATCGATAAATTATCTAAACATGTCAAGTATCATCCGGTTTATCTTCTAAACCGGCTAAAAATCTGTTTGATGACTCTAAATCGCTCAAAGGGCACTCGATGTAACTAAATCGCTCAAACCATGTTGTCCGGATTTGATCTTCGGACAGTGTTCTCCGGATTAGATCTCTGGACGATTGTCCATATTACATTAACGGATAGGGAATTGACCGGAATTCATGTCCAGCTGAAATTGGTTTGATACTTCTACTGATTAAAACTTGTTTGGGAAAAGAGATGTAATGGAATGTTAAATCGGATAGTGATGAAGGCAAGTCCAGGTAACAAATGTAGATGATGAACTTGACGGACTGTTGCCTAAGACAATGGGCCTCTAATCTGATTGGGCTTAAAAAAATTCAAAAACACTAAAACAAAAAAAAAATAGACAAAATGGATCAAAGAGAAAAAATTTATCAAAAAAAAATTCAAAATTACAAATTCGACCAAATCTTCAAAACATAATGATCAAAACACAAAAGTTTGTGAATAACAAAGATTCACAGTTTAATTCCGCACAGTTTGATCACGGTTTTAACACGAAAACACAAAATTTTCCAAAAATTTTAGATCAAATTAAA